GATATGTTTTAGAGGCAAACGTTCCCCACTTTAGAAGTGCATTCCTGTTGAATGGGAGAAAGAATTTAGAAAGGAAAAAATTATTACACTAGAAATTCTCGAGTATGACCGAATTCCAAGTAAATTTCAATTTATTGTAAAAAGCTTACAATTCAACAAAACAATCTACCGCATGAAACGAAACGTTGAGCAGATTCAATACTTCTCTTGACAACATGCTGGAGTTGAGAAAACCTCGACAAGGTCTAGTTGTGGAATCAATCACTGATTCTATTGGGACAACCTCCCAATTTTCCTCAAATTAACAGGTTTCTCTCCCACACTCTTGGCTCTTTTTCCTGCCGAAGGTTTTCCTGCCTTCTTCCATAGTGTTTCGATGACGCTCAGGACATGTGACTGAATTGGTCGCTCCGTTAGAAGCACGCCATGCTGGCGAAACCACTCCTTCACAGTGGAGGTGCGATGCTTTTGGTCGCTCCATTGCTAGAAGACGAAGACATTAGCGTGCAGTTGCCATACATGGATACACAACACCTTCTAGAACCTAACTGCATCCGTCTGCCTTCACCAGTTCGCGAATCCTCTGCAGCGGTACAGCTTCTTCTACGGCCTACCATAACCGAGCCTCCACCTAGTTACAAGGATGGCAGCTGATACTATGGATCGAAACGCTCCTCGTTAGGACCACCTACATGCCTATTGCTGTCGCCGACAAACATTCACTCTCGTCGCTTCAGACAACTTAGGAACACTGTTTGAATCTCCAGTGCGTAAGCACATTCTATCTTCTACACTCCATAGTCAAACAACTTCACAGGAATCCTGAGCAGTGAAGGCAGACGGACGTAGTTAGGTTCTAGGAGGTGCTGTGTTTTCGCACCACGATGTCTTCGTTCTCTAGCAATGGAGCGATTAATAGCTTCACCTCCACTGTGAAGGAGTGGTTTCGCCAGCACTGCGTGCTTCTAACGGAGCGACCAGTTCAGTCACATGTCCTGAGCGTCATCGAAACACAATGGAAGAATTTACCGAAACCTGTGGCAAAAAGAGCCAGGAATTGGAAGAGAAACTTGAGGAAAAATTGGGAGGTTGTCCCAATAGACAACACAATCAGTGATTAATTCCACACTTAGACCTTGACGAGGTTTTAAGAACTCCAGAACGTCATCAAGAAAGTGTATTGAATCTGCTCGACGTTTCCTATTATGCAGTAGGTTGTTTGTTGAATTGTAAACTTTTTACAATAAGTTGAAATTTACTTGGAATTCGGTCATATTCGAACAATTTCTGTGTAATAATTTTTCTTTCCAAATTCTTTCTCCCATCAACAATA